AGACCCCCTCCCCTCCCAGAGCCGGGGAGAGAACCCAGGAGTCCTGGCTCCCAGCCCCCAATCCCCTCCCAGAGCTGGGGAGAGAACCCAGGAGTCCTGGCTCCCAACCCCCCTGCTCTGACCCGCCAGCCCCCACTCCCCTCCCTGCAGACACTCCCTGACCATATGTCTCCTGCCATGGCCTCCCCCCGGGTCCCCCGAGCGTTACCCCTCTCCTGGCCGCACCCCCCTTCCCGCACTCACCCTGCTGCCGGGACATCTGCCCAGGGGATGCTGGGCTGGGGATGCCGGGCGGCTGCTCCGTGACCTGAAACAGACGTGGCGGGGGGGAAGTCAGCCTGAGTCCCATGGGGCGCCATCCGCCCCCCCTTCCGACCCCAGTCCCTCCCCTCTCACCTGGGTTCTCGGCTTCCTCCGGGGCACGCTGCTGCTCTCCGACAGACCACTGGGGGGAGACAGAGCCAGGTGAGGGGGCTGCTCCGGGGCACCCGAGGGGGCGGGAAGTGCCCCCCGCGCTGGGATAGGGCCCCCAATCCTGGCCGGGAGGGGGGGGGAACCGCTCAGCCACTCTCACCTCCAGAGGGTGATAGAGTTAGAGCAGCCCCAAGGCAGCTCTAGCGTATATGGGGGGGGGGCACCTGAATCCCAGCAGCTCCATGGGGCTTCAAGGCCCCAGGGGAGAAAGGCACAACCTGCCAATGAGGGGGGCAGAGGACCTCTCCTGGGGGGGGGCACAGAGGGGAGGGATTTCTCACGGGGGGGGAGGGGTCTCACTTGCTGGCCGCCGGGCCCTGCGCGCTGCCGAAGCTGCCTTTGGCCCCCATCCTCGGCAGGCTGTAAGAGACGCAGAGAGGGTCAGGGGGGCAGAGACTGAGACCCCCCCACGGCCCCGCCCCCCCTCCACGTACCTGTCCCGCTTCTCCAGCGCCTGGCTCCGCAACGCCTGCTGCTGCCGCTCCCTCTCCTGCCAGATCTGCAGCGTCTCAGGACGCCTCCGCTCCTCGCTGGGGGGCTCTTCCCGGGGAGGGCTGGGCCTGTGGGGCGGGATTGGGGGCATTGGTGGGGGGCAGAACCCGGACCAGCACTCCGCAGCTTAGTTTCCCCTACGGGTGTGTGTGGGGGCATGTCAGACGAGAGGATAACAACCTACTACAGCTGAATGACAGCTAAGACCCCTTGCCTGGTGCTGAGACGCGGCCCCTCTGCGGCAGGGTGGCTGGTTACACAGGGACCCCCTCGCCCGGTGCTGAGATGCAGCCACCTCTGGGGCGGGGCGGCCAGTTACACGACGAACTGGGACTGTCCTTAATGTGGTCTGTGAATACTGAGTGGGGAGTGTTGGCTGGGAAGGTCGCAGGGGAGTGTGGCTAGGACGGTCTGCACTGGGGGATGGGAGACGGACCGAGGGAGAATACCTGAGCGTGTAACAGGAGAACCCAGGAAGGGGTTAGAGGCCAGGTGACACCTTGGCCCAGGAAACTGAACAAAGGCTGGGGAGAGAGTTTCAGAGCTGGCTGGTGGAAGGGCTGGGAGGGAGACGGGGCTCTGACCTCCCAAGGGGGCTGGGGCGCCCTGGGACCCCAAGATGCAGCTAATTGGGCGGGGGGGGGGGG